TGAAATATCGGGCAGGCGTCTCCACGCGGCCCAGTAGTCTGCCAGGGGTCTTGGGTGTTCTACAGTTAAAACGTACATCTGATTTTCCTGTATAGGATCCCGAAGCACCTGAGTGGCGGGAAAAACTATAATGGGAAGATTTCCGATTCTGTCGGGCCTGCCCATTGCCCCAACAGTGGGAGCTTTGGAGGCCGTCATAAACGGGCCATGCTCGCATGACCCTTGGGCTTTTTCTCGAACTCTGAAGGCTGGAACGCGCAGAGTATCCGAGGAGGTGCTCGTCGTAAGGACTCGATCTAAAACTGCCCGAGGCGCAATATGCGGCGGGACCGTCAAGATCGGAGTCTGGAGGCCACAGCGAGAGAGTCGAATACGCTTGTGCGGTTCGTACACTCTCTCTAAAGGAGGGCCTGGCCTCCGAAGACGAGCAGAGGAATCAGGAACTGCTATTAGGGGCCTGAGGACAAGAGGGCTTTGCCGTCGAACTCAGGTCTACTCGCTTGCGTTGCTGTGCGTAAGCCGGTGGGCGAGACCTAGGACCCCAGTCTTTACGAGGGGGTAACCTAGGCGGCGGTTCATGCCGCTGGACCTCTCGGTGCTGTAAGGATGAAGAGCGTGAGCGAGCCGCCGGTGGCTGACGTTCCACTTCCCTAGCCCTGCGAGGGATGAGTTGACGGAACGCAGCGGACTGCTGTTTCGCTGCTCTAAACTTCTCCACGACCGTAGTGACCGAGTCTCCAAACAGACCGTCACTCGAAATGGGGGCGTCCAGGAGAAAAGTTCTGTCCTTCTCTTTAATGTCAGTGAGAGTAAGCCAAAGATGGCGCTCAGCTGACACTAACCCTGCCATGGACCTGCCCACTGCCCGGGCTTGGACGGTAGCAGAGGGCGTGATTTCCAAGACGGAGTGGAATTTGCACGCGAGATGTGCCGTGAGAGTCTCTTCTACGGCCGGCATCGCCGTGTAGCCGTGAGCCGCCATTTTAGAAACCGTGGCGAAATCAGCGGCAGCGGGATTAATGATACGCACCGAAAAAGGTTGTTTCCAAGACCTCGAAACCTCGTAGTGGAGGTCTTGGAAAAATGGGAGAGGCCTACGGGGCTGAGACGGAGTGCGGCTGGACAAAAATCGATCGTCCAGTTTCGACTGGGACTGAGTTTGCGCCGGCTCGCTATCCCACTCTAACCCCAGCTTATCCACAGCGCGCGTTACAACGTCTAATAGTTCGCTGTAAGACGGGGAAGTGCGTTTCTCCTGTCCACTCGGAGGGAGAAAACTGCACAGATCGCCCAATAAATCCTCCGAATCGGAGGCTGCTGTGGACAGCACGTCTTCATCATACGGCATACAACCGAAAGACATCGCATCGCGAGCTTCCGGGGTAGGCCGCAAATTGTCATTGACGAAGACCACGGGATCCCCGTAGCGCTCTTCGAGCGCTTGCACATGGCCCGGAGAGAGCGAGAGAAAAGGAGAAAACTCCGTTGACTCGCCCTCTAAACGCCTCGGTTCGCATGCGTCACCCCAAGCGACCGTCTCGTGCGGCGCCTCGGCAACCGCAGAAACGGGATAGCGGGGGTTAGACGCGAGGCCTACTTTATCTGAGAAGGCCGCGAACCTCGAGCACAGTGCTTTTAGCCGTAGGCTATCACAGTGTCGACAATCAGAAAGGCCGCTAAGCACAGCTTGGGCATGCTGTAGGCCCAAACATTGCACGCACCTGTCATGAGTGTCTCCTCCTGCGATGAACCTGTCACACCTCCGTTGGTAAAAAAAATGATCCAATCAGCATCGAGTGTTCACTTTCAGCGCTGAGGAGTGTGGAGAAAAGACCCCTTGCAAGGGAGGCTAGCCTCCCTTCTGATATCAACCAATCATCAGTTAGGCTATATTATCTTGCTGTATGCGTGTCGTTTTCTTTACGTTTTAAGACTAAAAGCAACCAAAAAGCCATTTTAACGTGGTTAAGCAAATTATAATAATAATAATCGGCAGGGATCCCAGACCAATACAATTAGTGTGCCTCCTCTATTTTAAAACCCACGAGCCGCCACTGGAATGTAAGTTATGCATTCAGGAAGACAGCACATCTCAAACACATTAAATAGCGCGAGTAGCCTAGTGTCTCTGACGGGGGAGCCGCTTAAACTAATATACGAAACGATAAACTATGTCTTACCAGTTTTTAAAGGCCTTAATATGAAGCTTGTCACATGCTTAGAACAAATTGAATTATGCACTTTTTCCGCAGCAGCTCAGTCTGTGTCCTCCGCTATATTTTCAGATGCGCTCGTATCAAACTAATGTATATCGATATAAACGGTATTGCCGTTGGATTATAAGGATTCACACACTTGGAAAAAACAGGTTTATAGTTGTTTTTAATATCCCATCTTGCATTTTTCATAGACATTTTTTTGGACTCAAATGTGGGGTGTCAGCATGACTCTTCGAACCTCGAAAGTGGCGGCACTTCTGCTGCTGTCAGTGCATCTCCTGCATGCGTCTGCCCTACCGGCTGCATCCTCCTATGAGTTCAACGCATACAGGATGCAGCAGTACAATTTACATCAGGACAAACATGGTAACACGCCACAGTTTAAAGGCATAGTTTACACAAAAACTAAAATTCTGTCTGCTATTCTCATATTTAGACTGATTTTCTTTCCTCTGCCGAAGTCAAAAGGAAATACTGAAGAAGGAATGTTGGTAACCAAAAATTTGTGGTGCCCATTGAATTACATTCTATGGAAAAAATGCACTGGAACATTTTTCAAAATATCTCTTATTTATGTTGCACAGAAGAGAAACGTTCTACAGGTTTGGAATGACAGGAATAGTATAAATTACAGCATAATTTTTATTTTTAGGTTAATTATAAATTTAAATTATAAAATAATTATATATATATATCTTAATGTCTACAGTTGTGCATTTACAACAACACATTATTTGCTCATTTCTTTTCCAATAATACTTGTGTTACTGGATGAGAATAAAAAGTGAATAAGAAATTTAGTTTTTAATCCCATTTTGTGAAAAAAAACACTACCTGTCAAAAGTTTGAAATAGTTATTTATTTATTTTCTGAATTAAAAAAAACCCCTTATGCTCACCAAAGCTGTATTTATTTAATAAAAAATACTGTAAAACAGTATTTTTGTGAAATAAATTATTACTTTTCTTCAGCAAGGATGCATTAAATTGGTCAAAAGTGACAGCAAAAACATTTATAATGGTACAGAACATTTCTATTTTTAAACTTTCTATTCATCAAAGAATCAACATTAATATTAAGTAGCAAATGTTTTTAACATTGATAATAAAAAGAACCATTGTTAATATTTAAGAACTAACTAAGTACATTAGACTGGAGTAATGGCTGCTAAAAATTCAGCTTTGCCATGAAGAATAAATTACATTTTAAAATATATTAAAATAAAAAAATGGTTATTTAAATTGTAATAATATTTCATAACATTGCTGTTTTACTGTATTTTGGATCAAATCAATGCAGCATTGGTGAGCATAAGAGACGTCTTTAAAAAAAAAAAAAAGTACTTCCTGGAGCTGGAGAAGACCCACCCACTATTGTAATTACGTCCCATTATGACTCGTTCGGTCTTGCTCCTGTAAGTCACACTCATTAATGTCCACACACACACACACACCCACACCCACACCCACACCCACACAGCACAACTAGATTGAAGGAACCTTTCTGAGTGTATATTAATAAATGCTTAATCATTTTTGGTCACATAATACATCACACTCCCCCCAAACATGGTTCGGAATGATTAATGTATGTTGTCAATTGGCATGGTTCACTTGCTGTGGGAACTGACCTTTTCAAACACCTTGATCAGAAATGAACATATTCACATTGCCGGCCTCTCAAAGCCTCACCAGTGAAAATTGTATTGAATTTAGTGTTGGGAACTGACAATTGTAATTCAGAACTGCCAAAGCTTTATTCAGTGTGAAACATACAGTATTGTATACCAGAATGAATGACTCATGACTCGTTTTAGTGAATCAAAAACATGCAGCACAACCAGTCCAATTCCCAAAAGAATGAGTCTTATGAGTCAGTTCTTTTTAATGAATCAAAAAACATGCAGTGCAACCTATCCAATTCCTGAACAAATAATTTTATGAGCCGGTTCTTTTTAGTGAATCAAAACCAAATCAAAAAAGCGTTATCAATGTAATGTAGTATGATTTGCAACTAATGACACTTATGAGTTGGTTCTTTTTTGTGAATCAGAAACATACATTGCAATCAGTCCAGTCCCCAAACTAGCTGGATCTTTTCAGTAAATCTATAAATAGAGCTCAACCAGTACAGTCTGATTCCTAAACAAATGTCTCTTATGAATCTGTTCTTTTTAGTGAATCACAACCAAATGAATGACACTCATAATTTTTTTTTTGATTGAATCATATACATGCAGCATGACTAGTCTAGTCCAACAGATTACATAACCAATTACTCTTTTGACTTAAAAAAATAAAATAAAATTGGAATCTGGATCATTGAATTCCATATGATTCCCATGTGTAATTGAATTTACAGTATGCTTAAATCCGGTACCTTTGATTTAAGTACCAGTAATGATACTTTGGTAATCCTGTAATCACAGCAAAGCATTTTATTACCACTGTGTTTTACGGGTTCAGATGGTAAAATTTCCCACTGGTAATAATGAGTTTTACAGTCACCACCTGGCAGATCACATACATTGGCACTTCATAAAGTGAAACAATGTACTTGGCTGTATGCTTAGTATATTGCTGATACTTGAGCCATCTCTTCTTTACAAAAAAAGAATAGGGATACTTTTGATATTTTAATTCTTAAAGTACACGAGAGGGTTTTTCTTTTTCCAATTTAGTGTGTATTATGAGATTGTATGTGTGAGTGATCTGTGTATGTGTGTTTAGTGGCTGGCGTATGGTGCAGACTCTAATGGCAGTGGCGTCACCGTTCTTCTCGAGCTGGTTCGACTCTTTCATCACCTCTACAGCAACCTACGAAGCCAGGCTCCGTAAGTTCTTTCTGTAGTTTATGAACTAAAATGTTTGTGTTGGGAAAATGATTTAAAAACTGGCAACATGAATACAATAGCTTGTATTACCTGATTCATATTCATCATAAGAATTTACTTTTGGATTTTTTTTTTAATCAATATTTTTTAGGTACCATCTTTTATTCTCCCTGACTGGTGGTGGTAAATATAATTTCCTGGGCACCAAGCGTTGGCTGGAGGAAAATATGGACCATGCAGGTGCGTGAATTATTTTCAAAATGATTCTTGACACATATTTCACTCCCAAAGTCAAAACATTGTCTAAGTATCGCATTCAGTCATAGATACACTCCTAAAAATAAAGATTCTTTATTGGCATGTATGGTTCCATAAAGAACCTTTAAAATCTATGGAAACTTTGCATTCAACAAAAGTTTCTTTATAGCAGAAAAAATGGTTCTTTCAAGAACTGTTCACTGAAAGGTTCTTTGGGAACCAAAAATGGGTCTTCTATCGCATCACTGCGAAAACCCCTTTTTGGATCTTTATTTTTAAGAGTGTAAGAATTATGAGCACTCATACAATAAAAATACCAAAGTTTGAAGTCTGGATCTCTCTTTGCAGAATCCAGCCTTTTGCATGACAACGTGGCGTTTGTTCTATGTCTGGACTCTCTTGGCACTGGAGACAAGCTTTTCTTACATGTTTCACGACCACCTAAGCCTGGAACACCTCAGTACAGCTTTATTCAGCAGCTGGAGCAGGTTAGGTTGAATTGCAGAGTTGGATTCAGTCGATGTTCTATGAAAATACTGTTTTGAACTTAAATGTTGATTGTCAGTTGACCCTCTTGTACATTTTTTTATTTTCTGTGTTTTCAGATCATCTCTGCCAGGTTCCCCTGGATGAGATTTGGAACTGTCCATAAGAAGATCAACCTGCAGGAGGCCACCTTGGCTTGGGAGCACGAGCGCTACGGAATGAAACGTATCCTAGGATTCACTCTGTCGCACATTGAGAACCCTAAATCAGAGCTAAGAGGATCAATACTGGACACCATGTGAGATCATTTTTCAAAAGTTTAGAAAATTCCATTCTGGAACTTCTGTCAGATGTAGTCAATGAATTAGCCACTCCATCCCACCAAGATATAAAAATAGCATTCTTGCATGATAAATTAACAACTGAAACCTGCTTGAAGCTAAATATGGTGTAAACTTGAATAACCTGCTTGAACTTAGCATCCTACTTCACATTTAATGGCTGCCTTTTGAATGTGTAAAATGTTTGACTGGTGGAAAGAGCCTCAAAATCTTCTGACTGGCTGAACAAAGATTCAGAGTGTGGTCTACAGTCACTTTTTTAAACTAATTTAGTGATATCTGTCGAGTTATATGTATATTTTCCAGTTCCATTCCATAACGAATATCCTTCCATACCTTTAAAACTTATTTAATCCTTGAAAACAAGTGTGAATTAAGTTTTCTATCCAATGCAGCTCTGTTATAGCAGACATTTCAGAACACATTTTAAATGATAGATGCACCGCATCTTCTCATTTCTGTATATTCAGGGCACAGGTTGACATCAGAAAACTCAAGCGGAACACCGTTATTGTTGCTGAGTCCTTGGCAAGATTCATGTACAATGTTTCAGACAAGGTGAGGCAAACATTTGGAGTGTCTCGCCAAATGTAAACGTTCACGTTAAAGGGTTAGTTCACCCAAAAATGAAAATTAGCCTGTGATGTACTCACCCTCGAGGCATCCTAGGTGTATATGACTTTCTTCTTTCAGACGAATCCAATTGGAGTTATATAAAAAATTGTCCTGGCCCCTCCAAGCCTTACAATGGGGGTAAGCGGGTGCTTTTTGTCAACAGTTCAGAAGACGTGAAATATAGTGCGTGCATCCGTAATAAAATGTGCCTCACACGGCTCTGGTGGGCCTCCTGTAGCGAATCCATGCGTTTTTGTAAGAAAAATATCCATATTTCAAACGTAATAAGCACTTTGTTTCACTTCCGCTGACTGTCATACGTGCAAGCCATTCCGGCGGATGACGTAGGACGTATGTGTTGCGCTCGCGCCTCTGAGATAAATCTGTAAACAAACTTTCGCGAGTTTGTTTACAGGAGCAAAGGAAGCAAAGTTTCCTTACTTTAGCAAAGGAAAACCAATCTCCTCTTGGCTTATATCGAAATCCTCTGACATTTTTCTTTACAAATCCGGTTTTGTGCTTCTAATTAGTGACCGGCGTTTTGTTTTGTTCTCTCTCCGCGTTCGTCACTGATCATGCAACGCCGACATACTACGTCATCCGCCGGAACGGCTTCTGTGTACGACAGTCAGCGGAAGTGAGAAAAAAGTGTTTATTACGTTTGAAATATGGACATTTTTCTTACAAAAACGCATGGATTCGCTACAGGAGGCCTTTATTCACCCCCCGGAGCCGTGTGAGGCACATTTTATTACGGATGCACGCACTATATTTCACGTCTTCTGGACTGTTGACAAAAAGCACCCGCTTACCCCCATTGTAAGGCTTGGAGGGGCCAGGACAATTTTTAATATAACTCCAATTGGATTCATCTGAAAGAAGAAAGTCATATACACCTAGGATGCTTTGAGGGTGAGTAAAACACAGGCTAATTTTCATTTTTGGGAGAACTAACCCTTTAACCTTGAAAGCACACACAGACCACTTTTGTCTTTGTTTGCACTTTTCATTAATATATACTTTTTTTCTGTAGGGGTCTGCTAAGGACATGCAGGTTTTCAAGGGCAGTTTGGTAATACATTTTTTTCTGCTGTGTTGCTCATTTTATCAGGCTAAAGAAATAAGTATTTACTGTCACTTGTGATCAGTTTAATGTATCCTTGTTATATAAATTATTTAAAAAAAATTACTGACCCTAAACGTTTGAACTTCATTAATTTTATAAAGTAAACCTAAAACTGTTCACCCTTATTTGCCATGTAGGATATTCAAGACAGCCGTTTGTCTGCATTGATGACCATGATAACGTCTGTTCCACGAGCCGTTCAGTTGATGGACCGAGAGCCAGAACACACACTCCTGATCAGCAGCCTGGAGCAAGAGTTCAAACACTATCTACGGCAGGTCCATAGACAAACGTTCCACCCGGACCGAAGGTACGCACACACAGACATGGCCAAAATATTTCACCTCATCAATAGCCTGAAGCAAGACTTCAAAAGACTTCTGTAGCAGGTTTACAGATGCAGATTTCAAACACGCATAAATTCACAGAGCCAGGATTCATTTTTCTTTTTACCTTGCCTGTAGCAAAAGTTCAAACAATGTTTACCAACACACTTTCTGAAAACAGCAAAACTACAAACCCACAGCCACCCAAACACACCGATACAGACATATTAAGCCTGTTTTGTCTGACTTTTCTAGGGATCCTGAAATCACATTCTTTGATCAAATGAAACAACCAATGATGATGTACAGGTGAGTCTTCTCATTTGTTGTTTTGAGGCTTTGAAGATGGTTTTAAAGTCAACCTGAAACAGCATTAAAACCCTTTTTACATTAGTAATATGGTGCATTTCCAAATGAAACAGGACATTCAAAAAGATAACGTAAATAAGGTTAACTTAAAATCCCTTATTGTTCTATTATTTTTCATGGAGTTTTTTTTTTCCTCCATTTTATCCTCCTTTGGTTACTTTAGTTTTTTGTATTTTCCAGTTTCTACATTCAGTGTATTAACTTTGTATATTAGTTTTTATTTAATTTTATTTTAGTTTAATCAGTTTTGTAATAATAAACAATGTATTAAGAACTAAAACTAAAATGCATTCATTTATTATTATTTTAGAAAGAGTTATTATGAAATCATTTAAAAATGACAATGTATTCTAGTGTAAGTTTTTTTTCTCGGTAATAGTTTTTTTTTTCCTTTTAGTTCGTGTTAATTTAGTTTGTTAATTTTTGTATTTTATTCATTTTTATTTTACTATTCACTTTTTTTAGGGTGAAGCCTGCCACCTTTGACCTGTTTTTGGGTGGCTGTATAGCTGGATACCTTGGAATAGTTTATTATGCAATCCAGGTGAGCCATGGGTAATGTATACCAAACTAATTAGAGAGCTGGGGTCAGTATGCTAATTATACCTGCATAGGTTGGAATTGAAAGTCTATCAGTAATCAGAATCTTTTCTTTAATGTGTGGCTTGGTTAATTTATTTGAATCATTTCTTGTTGTTTGCAGACCTTTGGCAATGTCTACACTAAGCTGAAAGCAAACGTGAAAGCCAAGCACCAATAAACTGGAGTAAAGCAGACACATCAAAGAACCAGTGCACAGAGATGTCTACAACATCTGAAAACTTTTGGAATTCACGTCTAGAATTTAAAGTGGCTACCTTGTATTTTATAATTCCCTTGCAGTCTCTTCTGTTTCTGTTTGATTCCCTTTTTTCAATTAAAGATCACTTCTCTCTTTTAGTAGTTGGCTACTTTGCTCATTCTGCATTCAGAAATCCTTTTGGAAGTTGACTGTATGTTTACACTTTGGTCAATGAAGGCAAAGAGACTAAATTAGATGATTACCCATGTAAATATGATATGTCAGGAGTAGAATGGAACTCATGGATAAGTTATGAGTCACTCAAAAAAGGAACCTGATGCCAAGAAAGATTGAGCGGGACTGGGTCACCTATATGTAGTGGAATTATTGTCACTGAACACCTATATGAAAGAGAAGCTTATGAACACCAGTTAATGTTTCAAAGATAAATATAACTATTTTGTTAAAGGACTGGTTCACTCAAAAACGAAAATTTCAACTCAAGTTACCAATATGTAATGCGTATGTTTTTTAATCTGAACAGATTTGGAGGAGTTTAACATTCCATCACTTGCTCATTGGATCCTCTGCAGTGAATGGGTGCCATCAGAATGAGAGTCCAAACAGATGATAAAAACATCACAATAATCCACAAGTAATCCATTTGACTCCAGTCCATCAATTAATGTCTTGTGAAGTGGAAAGCTGTGTTTGTAATAAACAAATCGATCATTAATTGTTCATAATATTGTTTTCTCCAGTGAAAAAGACATCTCACAACAGATCAAGCACTGTTTAGAAGCAAAATCAGTCCAAAACAAATATGTAGGTGGATTTTATTATGATTTATGGCCAAACACACATTTTTTCACTTCACATGGGGTTAACTGTTGAACTGTAGTCATGTGGATTACTCGTGGATTATTGTGATGTTTTTGCCAGTTGTTTGGACTCTCATTCTGACAGCACACATAGGTTATTTCTCTATGTGAGTGATTATTAAAAAAGTAGAACTTGACAGAAACTGCCCTTCAGACCCATTTCGTGTCATTAATTATGTATGGAACATTTTTCCCTGTGGAACTATCTGAGTAACCTGAAAACTGTCCTGTGCATAATAGGTCGCTGACGGGATATTTGATTTACTTGTGTTGGCACGGCCACAGAGGATATTTTGTGGTGCTGACAGTGACTGTGGATAAGTGCCAAATGCTCAGTTAAATGATGACTCTCTTGATTATCTCTTATGAATGAAGAACATTCATTCATACAGGATTAGTCATTCATTACTGTCATCCACAATATTGTATCTACTCTGATGACATGAGCAAATTCCCCTAATGTATCATATTGTTATACTCTACTGTGGAGTTTAATGACTGAACATTAACATTCTGAATTCATGGCTGTAGATTCATTCACAAAAAAGGGAAATTTATTATGTTCACTATTCTTGAGTGCAGACAATTCAAAGACCAACAAAAGTTCAGTAAGTCAGTAAGATGTTTTTTTTTAAGAAATTAATACTTGTATTCAGCAAGTACACATTAAATCGACAGTAAAGACATTTATAATATTACAAAATATTTTTATTAGAAACAAATGCTGTTCTTTTGAATGATCTATTCATCAAGGATTCCAGAAAAAAATACATTTATCACAGTTGCCATTAAAATATTTAGCAGCACAACTGTTTGCGACATTGATAATAATAAGAAACGTTTCTTACCAAATCAGCATATTAGAATGATTTCTGAAAGATCATACACTTAAGACTTGCATAATGATGCTTTTTCTTTCTTTTTTATTTTTTTTAAGAAAATACTTCCTATCCTACACAACTATTTGCTAATATATTTTTCAAAAGTGTATTAAATGCTAAATAAATAATAATATCCATAGTTCTCATTTTTAAATGTAGGATTTTTAAATCTTTTTTTTTATACTTTATTATGTCTTTCAATTCAAGCACATTTAATACAGTTATACAAATAAACATTTCCTTTAAAGACATCTTATTTTATTTTTTACCAATAGTTATTCCTAATTGTTCCTTCTACTTTATCTTCCTTCACTTTTTATTCCCTTTTGTGATAATACCCATCACCAACGCATAAAAAAAATAAATAATAATAATTAGAACAATAAACTAAATGCAGACATAAACACTTTTTCATATAAAATATATAGAGAAAAAAGCATCCACATATTCATATTAAACTCTTATAATGACACCTAATTCCTAATAATTCAAATACAAATATTTAAAACTAATTAATAATAATATTAATTAAATGAATAAAGATAATGAATAAATTAAAAGGGGGCAGAATTGTATAAAGATGTCATTAGAATATGTATTCCTTTATTTTATAATATATACTTTGATTTTAAAGGTGCCCATATCTTTTCAAAATATATACTTTTGCTCTTAATTTCATATGTTATCCTCTCCATAGAGTGTACTTTAGAAAGTAAATCTAACCAATCATTTAAAACTGGGGATTCTTGCCTTCTCCAAAAATGTTTTTATTGTTTTAAAATTCTCAGTATTCTAAATAAATATAACTCATCTTTAGATTTTTTAAATCTAATTATATTTCTGTATATATATTAGTGTGAAAGCAACATCCCTATTTTTCCAGCTATATTTCTGGCATTTGTCCAGACCAACAAACAGATCTCACTGTTAACTCTCAGTCAGGCCCCGCTGAACAGGGGCCACAAAAGGCACACAGGATCTAAGGCTTGAATTATTGATCACTGGCTGAGTGGGGAATGAAACCTGGGGCTGCTCAATCCTGGTGACAGACGGATATGCTATATTTCTGGCATTTGTCCAGACCAACAAACAGATCTCACCTCACCTGTTTAACTCTCAGTCAGACCCCGCTGAACAGGGGCCACAAAAGGCACACAGGATCTAAGGCTTGAATTATTGATCACTGGCTGAGTGGGGAATGAAACCTGGGGCTGCTCAATCCTGGTGACAGACGGATATCTATGCAGATTATCCAGTTGCCAGCTCTCTTTTTCTCTCCTCACTGGAGCGTGTAATACAGAACAGGACCAGAACGCCAGAATGACATCACATATGATTGCTTAGGACATGCTTTGTGTGTACTACAATTTCAAATGTGATTTGAACCTTTTGTTTGATCTCAAAGTCAGTGACAGCCAAAAAGGGCAGAGTGATAAATGGATGAAAGAGAAAGAAACATGCTGCCATCATTTACTCAACTTTATGTCGTTACAAACCTGGAGGATGAGTAAACAATTGCAGAATTTCGTTTTTGAGTCAATAAATCCGAATACCCCATGGAAAGATGAAAGGACTGAGGGATTAAGATAGAGAAGAGAGGAAGAGGAGCATGGCAGCACTAGAGCAGAGGTGCTGATGAGAGAGAGGGAGTGAGGTAGGGTTGATCAGTCTATGAGCTGCAGACACACTCTTACCATACACAGGGGAAATGGGTCCTCAGCTACACTTCAGCAGCACCTACTCAGAGGAGTTCAGTTCCCCGGCTCGGGTCAAACCCACCCGGCCCAGACCGTCCTCTGCATATCGCAGGAACAATCCTCATCCACGGCCGGTAAGAGCTTCTTGAATACTTTAACACATGCTCATCACCATAAATGAGCATTTGTTCTATTTATATGGGTCTCTTTTTAGCATTAGGGGTTTTATATTACCTTTGTATATAAATTTAAGTCATTTTATATAGAGAGAGCTATATATTCACTTGATTGGAGGTTGGTAAGTTTTCTTAAATGTCTCTTTGGCTCACCAAGGCTGCATTTGTTTGGTAAAAAAGAATGCAGTATAAACAGTAAAATAGTGTAATTATAATTTAAATTAAATGTTTTCTATTTTAATATATGTTAAAACGTGATTTATTTCTGTGTTGATAAAGCTGAATTTTCTGCAGCCATTACTCCAGTCTTCAATGTCACATGATCCTTCAGAAATCATTCTAATATGCTGATTTGCTTCTCAAGAAACGTTTCTTATCATTATACAAGTTGCAGACAGTTGTGCTGCTTCAAATTTTGGTGAACATATATATTTTGAACATACATGATTTTGATGAATAAATGTTCAAAAGAACAGCATATATAAATCTTTATACACTTTTGATCAAATTAATGTCATTGCATTCAAATCTACGTTTTTGATCATATCAAAGAAATTATAATTGCAAATTTATATTTCAGAAGTTAGAGATGAATAATAAGCATTTATACCTTATTATGTTCCTCTAAGCCTCTAACCATATGTAGAGGTTAATGTAGCGTATAGGATGTAAAGTGAAATGTATAGCTCCTAAAGTGTGTTACATTCATTATTTACTTGTTTTGAAATTTTGTGAGGTGTTTGTTTGTTTCCATTCCCTCAATTAGCATTATTTCACTGCTGTGTGAATGACTCACATCTGAATGAGCAAAACAATTGGGATAAACTGCAATATTGAGGTAAAAAAAAAGCACTGTAAACAACAACCAACATTTTTCAATTAACTTGAATTTAACTGCCCTGAAAAAACATGAATAATTCACCAGCATGGAGAGCATTGTAGCCACTTGATTCTGCAAAACAACCTACTTGTGGGGGGCCTTGTTCAGGAGGCTCCGGTTACACTGTTTCCAAACCACTGAACAGGGATCGGCGGTTGGGATCGACTCTCACTATATTTTCACTGCTGTGTGAATGACTCACATCTGAATGAGCAAAACAATTGAGATAAACTGCAATATTGAGGTAAAAAAAAAAGCACTGTAAACAACAAACAACATTTTTCAATTAACTTGAATTTAACTGCCCTGAAAAAACATTAATAATTCACCAGCATGGAGAGCATTGTAGCCACTTGATTCTGCAAAACAACCTACTTGTGGGGGGCCTTGTTCAGGAGGCTCCGGTTACACTGTTTCCAAACCACTGAACAGGGATCGGCGGTTGGGATCGACTCTCACTATATTAGCGAAACAATCTAACCTCTGCTGGGCCAGTGTTACAAGCTATTAAGTGCCACTTACACTCTTAAAAATAAAGGTCTGAAGAACCTTTCTTTTTCACAAAAGGTTCTTTGTGGCGAAAGAAGGTTCTTCAGATTATAAAAAGG